ACCATCCATCCATCATTTCATCATCCATCCATTTATCCATGCATCATCCATCCATCCATCCATCCATCCATCATCCATCAATCCTTCTATCCATCTATCCATCTATCCATCTATCCATCCACCCATCCATCCATCCATCCATCCATCCATCATCTTCTGCTTATTCCAAAGTTGGATCTTGGTGGCAGCAGCTTGAGCAGGGAGGCCTAGACATCTCTTTCCACAGTCACCTCTTCCAGCTCTTCTGGGAGGACTACAAGCTCAGCTGACTACAAGGCATCCCCAGGTCAACTGAGAGACGTAGTCTCTCCAGCATGTCCTGCGTCTCCTCCAAATTGAACATGCCTGAAAATCTTCCCTAGAAAGGCATCCAGGGGGCATCCTTATTAGGTGCTCAAACCACCTCAGGTGACTCCTCTGAATGTGGAGGAGCAGCGGTTCTACTCTGAGTTTCTTCAGGATCACTGAACGTCTCACCCTATCTCTAAGAGAGAGTCCAGCTACCCTGCGGAGGAAACTCCTTTCAACTGCCTGTATCCACAATCTCATTCTTTTGGTCATCATGATTCATGGTCATAGGTGAGGGTAGGAACAGACATGTCAATGAACCGAGCTTCACCTTGAAGCTCAGCTCCTTCTTCACCACAATGGACCGGCACAGAGTTCGCAATACTGCAGAAGTTTTAATGATCTTTCTGTCGATCTCACGCTCCATTCTTCCCTCATGCTTGAACAAAATACCAGAGATACTTGAACTCCTCCACTTGAGGCAGCACCTCACTCCCAACCCAGACCAAAGAACATCCATAACTTACAAAATGCTTTAATAGGCTTACATCTGTAACGCAGAGTGCATTAGAGAAATAAAGGTTTCTTGTGCTTTCAAGAGTTGAGGATTACTGTCTCAGCTTCATTCTTTTGTATGTAAGCTGCTTAACCTTCTGGGTTTAAGTAAAAGTGTTCAACATGACTCTGTACATTTGCATAAAAACTGTGTCTGGAAAAAACATAAATCCTTCAGTTTGTGTGAGTTATAAGACAATGATTTAAAACCCACAGAAAATTAAGATTTTATTTTTAATACACAAAGATTCACTTTTTTTAAATCAAGTCACATTTCTGTAATTTAATCAAACCTCAGGGAGTGTTTGGCTCACTCCATGTACATATTTTTTTTCTTGTGTTGGATCCTTTAAGGATATTTTATGAAAATAAATTGTATTTTCTCACATTATCTGGTGAACTTTTCACATTTGAGTTTGGTTCGAGGCAGAAGTCTCACAACCAAAAAACAACCTTCTGTATAAATACAAACCATCTGGAGTTTCTGACTAAATAAAATGCAACAAGCAGAACTTCTGCAGATAAATTTACAAAGGTTGTATAAAGAGTTGGAGATGGGCTTGCATCTGGTTGTTGGTTAGCATGTTAGCAAAATATCTCATGAACTACACAACGGATTGTATTAAGACTTGCAGAAAATAATTACCCTACTTTTCGGACTATAGAACACACCCAATATAAACCACATCCATCCATCCATCCATTATCTTTACCCGTTTATTCCATTTTGGGTCACGGGGGTCGCTGGTGCCCATGTCCAGCAATCACTGTGCGAGGGGCGGGGTACACCATGGACGGGTCGCAAGTCCATCACAGGGCCACACAGAGACAAACGAGACAAACAACCATTCACTCTCTCACTCACCCCTAGTGACAATTTAGAGTTACCAATCAGCCTAACATGCATGTTTTTGGTCTGTGGGAGGAAACCGGAGCACCCGGAGAAAACCCACGCATGCATGGAGAGAACATGCAAACTCCACCCAGAAAGGCCCCCGGACCAGGATTTGAACCAGGGACCTGCTCGCTGAGAGGCAGCAGCTCTTCCAGTTGCGCCACCGTGCTGCTCAAAGAAAATCATTTTAGTTTATTAAATGATTGATGAGGGAAAATTGGACATTTTTAAACATATAAAGCCTATTGTATTAATTATTATATTATATCATATAAACACATCTTTGTTTAAAACTTTTGCATAGTAGGTGATTGGTGATTTAATTTACCAATATAATGATGCCGTGAGGAAACAATACATTTGGAACATACAGTACAACAAGAACATACAGTAAAAACATTTCATAAGTTAAATTCAATCTTTTTGTCAAACATATTTCCAATCACAAATTGGACAGTATATAGACAACTTTCTCCTCAGTTTACACTTCAACCCTTTCGTTCTCTGCTGAAGTTCCAGGCTAAATGTGAACATTAAAGCTCCAGCTTTGTGCACAACAAATCAGAGCGTTAACAACATTTTGCTTCTGTTTTTGTTTTTTAAAGCCTTTCCATACACTGACCTTTTCTCAGCATACTTCTCTCTATTCCTCACTTCTGCTTTCTCTCTGACTCACAGCCTATTGTACTTCTCCTACTCAGCAGTGCTGTTTGCTCTCTGTCCTCGCCTCTCTTCCCCTCTCCCTTCACTTCCACCCACACGTCTCATCCATCCTCTCAGAGAACAATACAGAGGAGAGCTAACCACAGTAATTATCACAGCTCCAACTTACAACGGCTGGGAAAAAAAGTGTGTACCAAAACGGAAATGTATTTACAAGATAGAGAAA